TTGCAAAAAACTTTCATCATGCGCTGATATGTAGCGCCCGCATTTTTCAGGCCGAGGGGCATTACGTCGTAGTAATAGCTGCCCGACTCAGTCATGAAAGTGGTGTATTTTTTGTCCATTTTCGCCATGGGGATCTGGTTATAACCAGAGTATGCGTCCATGAATGATAGCAATTTAAAACCGGCCGAGTTGCCGACCAATTTGTCAATATTGGGGAGGGGATAAGCATCTTTGGAGCAAGCCTGATTGAGATCAGTATAATCAATACACATGCACCATTTTCCATTAGATTTTTTCACAAGAACTACATTTGAGAGCCAGGTTGTGTATTGGGCTTCAAAAATAAAATGTGCCTCTAGGAGGTCTTTTATCGCTAGTTGTGCAGCCTTTGCTTTCTTAGACGACTGCTTTCTTCTGCACTGGGCGACCGCCTTGAGGGCAGGATCTATAGTCAAGTGATGGCATGCGACCTCTAGATCTAAATCGGGCATCTCGTCCGCACTCCCAGCGAACATATCAGCATTCTCCCTTAGGCAAGCTTTGAGTTGCCTTTTTTCCAGGCCGGGGAGGTCTGCTCCGATCTTTACTCCTCTGGTGGGGTCTTCTCCGAGGGGAACTAGCTTTAAGTCCGTCCGGGATGGTCCGTGCATGACTCGAGTGTTCATTGCGATCATCAGAGAAGGTCGACCTTTTGTCTTCGACCATATGCTCATTTCTTTTCCTTCTTTGCTCGACACGGTCTTCCTTGGAGAAATAACTGTCGAGGTCAACGGTATCAAACCTTGGCAGAGGCTTGACTTCCTCGGAGCTGGAGGGCAGTGTGGCTTCGATGGTCGTTCGAGGTTGAACGCTGATGGAACTGAGGCCCTTAGCTGAAGCTTCGAAACACCTTCTTGCTGCTTGGAGGTCAATGGTCTCCTTGGCTGTAGAAAGAGAGGGGATGAGAGCCTCCTCAGAATTTATCGAGCGTGGCGTACATATCTGAGTTGGCTTCGATGAGTTGTTGAATCTCCTCTTCACCGATCCAACTATGTGCCTGTTGAATCCTCCGCCGGAGATGAGCATGGTTGCGGGGAAGGATTCCCAAGGACTATGGAAGGAGAAGTACAGGGGGAAGTTCTCCATGTCCGGATAATAGAAATCTTTCGGCTATGAGATGCTCATGGAGACCAGAATGGTGTCGAGATTGGGGGACTTCTTCCCTTCCTCAACGTTTTTTGGTTTCTGGTGCTTCCTTGCAGGAACCCTCCTTCTTTTTATACTGCTTGAGGTTCCCGTCTCTGATCAGTATTTAGATTCCATCCTCGAGATGATTGCAACCTTCTGTGTTATGTGAGTGGCTCTTATGGAACATGTAATATTTTCTTTTGTCAGTTCCTGGTTTGGATGGTGTTTATCGGGGGAAGCGCACCCGACTTACTTAAACTCAGAATTGGCGCATTCAGAAAGAATACGCTCCCTTGATGTAGTCAGAGGGGTGTAGTCGTGGAAACGGCCGGCTGGCCCCTTATAGTCTTTGGAATCACGAGACTTGTCCTCCCCTTTCTTCTCTCCCCGACGGGATGTTAAGGGTTCGTCGTTCTTCGAGGACATGGAAATATCTTTGTGCCTAGATTCCCTGGAGATGTTGGACGCTTCCTTCTCCTCGTACTGTATGTACGCCTGGTCCTTGAGAAGGAGGGAGTCGAGCGTGGCCAGTGTCTCAATGCTTACAGCTTTGGCAAAGTCACTACAGGGATAGAACCCGCGCTCGAAGAGATGTTTTTTCATGTTTTCAGTCGTTGAGACTTGGACCGCTTCCTTGTTAAAGCGTTCAATGTATGCCCGCAGGAACTCATCTCCGCCCTAGATGATTGCTTCGAGCGAAACCTCCAATTTCGGGTGTCGATGAGAGGCGGTGAAATGCCTCGAAAATATCCTCCCGAGCTGCTTCCATGAGGTGATGGATTCTTAGGGGAGGCTCTTGTACCAAGACATCTCCCCCTTCCTGAGAGTGGTTGGGAAGAGTCTGCATTTGATGGCCCCCCCTGACTCCTCGGTAGTCGAGGAGAGCGTCAGTGTTCTTGATGTGCTCGTCAGGGTCTGTTGTTCCATCGTAGGTCCCCAATGGAGGTGGCTTCTCCAGGACGACAGGGAGTGGGGCCTCAGTGATCTCCCTCGATAGCGGGCCACGAGACTCTTCATCTTCACTATTTGCGGGAGATGGAGAAGAAAAGTGATAGTTTCTTCCCCATTGATCGTCAAAGTCTCGTCGGAGGGAGGGGATCCTCCGTTTCTGCTTTGGCTCGGTGAAGGCAGCCGAGAGCGGTCGATTTGTCGGTTGTCTTTCCTCTTCTTGAATGAAGGGGAGTCTTGGTCTCTTGTAGGAGGTGTGCGGTTGCGTTTCTTGAATAAAGAAACGATGCACTTCTCCTTTCTTGGCGGCAGGCCATGCCTGGGCGGAGATATACTAGGGGAGTTTTGTCGTCAGGTTCTCCGAGAAGGAGGTCTTGATCACATGTTCTCCCAGACCCTTATCCTTTGATTTTGTTGTAGGATGAGGGCGTTGGTCTGACTGATAGCAACGAGCAGTGCCGCCATGGTCGGGTCCGCATTGAGAGGGACGCGAACTGGTTACATGATTTCTGGCAGTTCCTCTGTGGAATTCTTGGGGTGTCCCTTGTCTAAGAATTGGTCGTCACCGCGTCAAGCGTCAGTGGAATCTGGAGACGCGGTCTATCAGTTTTGCAAGCATGGGAAAGAATAGTCTTTCCGGGAAGATGAAGATCATCATGGTCGGCCATGATTAGTGAGAGAAATCTAGAAAAGTTGCTTTGATCTTTAAGTTTCGAGGAAAGAAAGAAGGGGAGAGCAGATTCCCACAGACGGCGCCACTGATCTTACTGGTTGATCAGAACCTGAGAAGTGGTCGGAAGATGATCTGTAGTCAGGCTGTGATGTCGAGGAGAAAAAGGGGATTGTACCTGCAAGGCACTCTGATGATCAAGTAAGAGTAGGAACAAGGAGATACAAGCGAAGTATTAGGTGGTAAATAGTGAATATTCTATACCTGACTCTCACAAGTGTGAGGATTTACATAATGCCCCTGACGCATGACCATTGGTTCCTGATTTCACACCTGGATATGCGGGTCCGTAAAATCAGGTAACTGTCAAGACTTGATCAAATCGGGCAGATGTGTCCGTAACTAGCCGTTGGTTTCGAGGGGGAGGCCAGTTACGGGCATCTCTTTGATCGGTTCCTGGTGGCCTGCACGACTTTGATGTCGGGCAGGCTGAGAGGATGATCGACGATCATCCTGGGCCAGTGCTGGTTCAGGAGGGAAAATGGTTGACATTGCCCGACGGGTAGGGGCAATCTGGGTCATGATCGTGAGGGTTGTACCAAAGGAAATGTCTTAGATCGGGCCCAATCAAGTTGTCGGACCAGTCCAAAAAAGTAATAATTTGGGGGCTTTTGTTCTGGACTGGGCCGACACTTACCCCATCGTTGGGGAGGCCCCATCCAGCACCTTTACAAAGGCACAAAAGCATGCGGCCCAAACTGAGGACCGTTGGGCATTTCCCCACGTGTCCACTAGGAGAACATGACTTGTGTCCATAACGTCATTATTTTGCCCTCCGAGAATAACGGGTCCAACTTCCCTGCTTTCTCGGGGCAGTTGACCAGAAAGGAGGCCACGTGCTGGACTCCATACACCCCGTAAACCCTGACAGTCTTTGTTATTGGGCCTCATCGTGGGCCATTACTGAAGACCTTGGCCCAACACTGAGGGCTATAAATACCTTCTCACTTGAGAGGGTCAGGTATTCATTCATTTATCCACACTCTCATGCTTTACTTGCACTTATTATGAACCTTACTTTGGCATCAGAGTGTCTTACAGATACCCCCCCCCCCCCCCCCCCCCCCCCCCTCTCCCACTTCACATTCAACCACCGCTCAACTCAGCTTATGGACCTTGACTATCCCTTCTGATTAGGTACGATCAGTAACGATCTTCTATCTTTTGGTGGAAATGTAGAGTGATTATAGGTAAAAATTGAGTAAGACAAAGGAGAAAATAGGATTTAATTGAATCTTTGGGATCACCTTATGCTAACTGTTTTTTTGAATAATATATATTTTTCAAAAAAAAAAAAGTGGAAGAAAATAAATCATGAGAAAAATAGAGAATTGAAATTTAGAGGATCTAACTTTATGATCTTACATTTTTTTTTTATTCTGGATAAAATAATCAAATGTCAATTTAACAAAGATGAATCAAATGTCTAATTTAACAAAGATGTAGCTTAGAGAAGATTTATTAATTAATATGTTTTATTAGGCGTGTTAATTAATTAATTGATAAATTAGTAATTTAATATTTGTTTTACAAAAATAATTTATTAACTTAAAGAGTGTTTTTATTTACAAAAAAAAATTGCAATAACTCTATGTCATGTTTATGAAAATTGATTGTTCAAACATAATTTATCAATATACTCCTCTGAGTACATCTCCATTCTCCGGTCAATGTCATAAGCAACCTCTATAAATCAAATATATAAATTGAAGAAAAAATTGTTTATAATAATAAACCACATACATAAGTAAATAATATTAGTTGTTTTTAGAATTTAAACAATATTTATTGTATTGACTAGTCAATTAAAATTCAAAACATATGTAATATTATTCAGTAATCGGAGTTTATTAGTGTTTTTGTTGGCTTATCTCATGTAACTTGCTCTTAATCTTACGTAAGATGTAGTATATGTAATAATAATGAAATTAAGAGTGAGATCAAAACACTCTTGCTCACCACAAGTTTTCCCTTATCAAGTTGTTGTCTGGTTCGCATATAGAAATGTGAGACCCTGTGTTGTGGACCGGGCCAGAATTCAGTAAATGCTGAATTGGAGAGACAAGCCATCGCGGAAGCAACCCAGCAATCCGTAAGCAGCCTCTTTTGAGGTCCAATTCGAGATAGAGTGATGAAGGAGTTCCTGAAAATCATTTTACAACGCGCGTACCAAACGAGCAGCAAAGGAGCCATCGAGTGAATGTTTCACTGGGTTGGAGAAATAGAAACCATTTGGCGTCACAAAATCAGGTGGAACATATCTGTCTACAGGATCAATGTGAAAATCCTGAAACTCTCGGATAAAGGAGAAATCAGAACCTGAAAAATGAGACTAGAAGATTATCTGAAGATTAGTGAAAGGTTACAATACTTACATGATGTCTTAATAGAAATGCAGCTACCCTCTCATCATTCTCTTCAGGGTCTATGGAGCATGTACTGTAAACTAATACTCCCCCGGGTTTTACCAATCTACAAATGCACGCGAAAAAAACTCAATAAGGGAGAAACCATGTATCAAGTTTTACCTACTTTCATAAAAATCAAAGAGAAATTCTGGATTTACGTGGATGCTGCATCGAGGAGTTCATCCTGTAATTTCTTCAATTCTTCCATATCTTCCAGATTTCTGTTCCAACGTAAGTCCGCTCTCTTCAAAAGCCAGGTAATAAGAACGGATTAACAAACAAGAAGAGAATATTGAATAATTATACGAAAAACTATGACAGTGAGTAAACATAAAATATTTAATACCTTTGAAAGAACGCCAAGCCCTGAGCATGGCGCGTCCAACAAAACTTTGTTACTCTTAAGTGGTTCACCGTCCTGGGAAAAAGACAAATATAAGAAATAAACAAATGCAGGAGTTTAACTCTACATAGGATGGGAATGATATAACATACAGTTAATGTACGAAGATCGGCATGGATGGTGGTAACGACACCATCTACTTGATGCAACTTTGCTGTCTCTTTAAGAATTCTCAACCTACCACTATTTACATCAATTGCGTATACCATGCCTGAAAATGCAATGTTCAAAAAAAGATCGGACGCGGTTTTAATAAATATTCGTCGACCAAATTATACCCTGTCCACTTAAATGAGAGGCCATGTAGAGGGTCTTTCCACCAGGAGCAGCGCAACAATCAACAATGGTTTCACCGGGTTGAGGATCCACAATAGAAACTATAAGACCTGCAATTGAGAATGTGTGATACATTGTACAAGAGTAATGGGAAAAACAAAACTTTAGATATTATAGTTTTACAGTTATTCCTTCTATTAGAAAAGATGACAAGTTAACCTGCACTCTCATCCTGAACTGAACATAAACCCTCTTTGAGTAGGCCAGCATGAATGATGGTCTGAAATATGAAACTACACACAGTCAATGACTCAAATGAGAATGTTGTTTCAACTCTCGTGATAACAGAAATAACAGCAAGATACACAAGATTTCAACACCTTTCATGTGAAAAAGAAGAAGAAGAAAACAGATAAAAAATATACAAACAGAAGGTTAATAAACAGCCAAATCACAATTTGGCACCAGCTAACCTATTATGCGATTACATAAGGTAAAAAAAAAACTACTATACAATTTAGTATTTCGGTCCTCGCAGAATATCTCTTCTTGTCAATGACTCCATGTGAATTTGATATCCAAGTTAAATTCTCAGATGAAAATAGCCTTATAATAAACTCATTGCCTCGATATCGTACCTGCAACCCAGTTTTGATGCGAACAAAATCATCCAAATGCAATGAAAGCTTGTGTGGAACCTGAAGTTTGATAAAAGAGAATTAACTATGGTAGTGAGTAACAGAATGCAAGAAGCAAGAGGTAAAACACAACTATTATTCGCACACATTACATAATCGTCTGTTCTGCCAGTACATAAAGAGAGGACTTAACTCAAAAGATATTTCTAGGAGCAAGAATTTCAAAATATTATTATAAAATAAAAAAAAGAATATTATAAGCAGAAGATAATGCAACATTTGATCATGGAAGTGGTAGCACCTTCAACGCATTAAGCTGTGCCACAAGGTCGTCTCTTGAAAAACCTATTGCCCGATTTGCTCTGAAATTAGAAAAATAACATATAGCTTGAGTTCTTCATTGTCTGTATGCTACTTTGGATGGAAGCACAAAAAAATGGAAGAAGCAATTACTAGCCTTAAACTATAACTCGGTTCACTGTTATTCCATATCATCAATTTAATGGTTTCTTCCTGACCAAGATACTTTGTCCATCTCCTTACTATCCACTACAAAGAAACAAATAAAAAAGCGTTACCAAATTTAAGCTTCCTTGTTTGGTTTTTGTTACTCACTACATTGTTAGATTAATTAAGAATTTTATTTTTTGTCTGGACACTAGATTATCTATCATAAGGACTAAGGAGGGTCCTGTCTGTACTTTTGGGATCTCAACGCACAAAAAATCGATATCAGAAAAACACAAATATTATATAAACTAGGTGTATAATTTTGTAGTGGTAATAGATTCACACTCACAACTGGATGTGAGTAGAGAGTTGCCAGAGCACGTGCTTGAGAACGATCATCACCCTCTACTTTGGGCAAAGGAAGAGTTTCATTTTCCTGCAAGCAAGACATCAACGGATTTGAGAAACTCTTCGCAATATTACACTCATGCAGTTAAGGGATGTGTAATGTACAAAAAGTAAAACCTTGAGTAGAACTAGCGTTCGGAGGATTCCGTTGACCAAGTTGCCTGCACCAGGCCTGAGAGCAGCTTTGGCAAGCTGCACATTCTGCACTCATTTCACACAACATTGGCAAATCAATAAAATTTATCTTCGTATCTTAATATTCAAAACTCTCTATGAGCTCAATAACCATCAAACAGTTACAATAAAGGAGCAATCTCTAACACGCTACAGAAACACACTTTCCCACACATGCATGCAACCAAAATCACAATATTAACCAATCACACTTACAATCACATTAAAATGACATCAGGTTTTACTTTTAAAAGTTGAATTCAAACTAACAATTAACAAAAGAAATGTAAATTCAACAAATGAGAATCATTTGGATGTTCAATACAATATACTCAACAAGGAAACAACAAAATCATATTTGGGTCAACGAAATACCTCATCTACAACAGCATAAGGTGGCATATCTAATTTGAGAATCTCATAGAAGCCAATTCGTAGAATCTGACCAAGCAAAGTACTAAGATCAATAATCAGATGATGAGTATAAGACCATAGAACAAGTTATAGAACCACCTGTAAGAGAAGAGGTTCCATACTAGATATATCTTTATCGTGGCACAATGAACTGATTAAATGATCAAGGTATCTCCTCCAACGAATTGTACCCCCAACAATTTCTGTAACCTATGTAATTTTCATTACGAAAACAATAAAACAATCAACAAATTTGCTCATGAATACTTAATGACATGAAAGGGACTTTTAAAAGTAAAAGTACTTCAAACTTTAACCCTAGTTATGAGTGATAACACCATGGACTTTACATGGCTAGGACAGATAGGAAAATGTAGGGGAAAGGGACACTCGTCAAAGTTTCAGTTGAACTGTAAGTTAAACATCTATGAAACACAGACACCAGAAACACGACACCGACCCTAACACGTCGACACCATTAATAATTTGAAAAAATGAATAAACTAAACGTAATTACAAGTTTTGGTGTTGGTTTTAGACACCGATCGTGAGACACAGACACGCATTTTTTCAGAGGTGTAGGTGCTACAGAGTTAAACATTTGTGTGCTTAATTAGGGACAAAGATAAATGACTCATTCCGTCATTAAAGATGACTTATGTCGCACCGACACTTCAGATTTGAAGGCGAGTCCAATGTCCGACACAACATTGTCATTGACACATATGGCACATTCAATAATTCACTTTTTTCGCAAATTAGTGTCAATGTCGTGTAAGACTTCTGTGTTGGTGCAGATAGGTATCCCAGATTCTTAGCTTTATCTTGACTATGAATCCAATTGATCAAAACTTATTAAAGATGAAAATATGTTGAAAGAGATAAATAACCAATCTAAGGTCTTGATTATTCAATTCTCGAGTACGAAAGCCAAGCGTTCTTTGAACATAACCCATCTCATTTTCACCAGAACCTTTCCCTTTCTCATTAAGAAGGCCAGCAAAAGCACCACCAAGTTCAATTCTCATCAATCTCACCGCAGACACTATGAAAACATTCAACAACAGAATAAGAAAATGAACAAAAAATCCCTTAAATTTAAGCACAAAAAAAAAGTGCTTTTTTTTGGTGAAAGTATATAGATAGATAGATAGATATACCAGCTCTGTGAGGAGAAACATCTGAATTAAGCTTCTGGGGTTTAAGAGAACGGTTAGCAGCAACTGAAAGTTTCAATTTTTTTGGTGACGGTTAATTAAGGTGCGATACTAACCAGAAGTAGCATTGTAATTGAAATTAAGTTTGGTTTGGTTGTTACCGTTGGTAGATGATGGAACGGATATGTTGGTGCTGCGGGTTCTATGTTGAAGCTTCGATGGTTTTGAAGAAGACGGTGATGAAGAAGAAGCTTTGGAGGTTTTGTGTGGTTGTGCGAGGAAAGGTAAAGCCATGTATACCATTTTCGCCATGTTTGTATTTTCAGTGTAACTTGTAACGAAGACAAGTGCAGTTTGGATATGGTACGTTTGGGGTTTAACGGGTACGACTAAATAAACTTTTGTAATTATAAAGATGGCTTAATACATCAATTAATCGATTTTTTTTTGTTTTGCAATAACCAGATTTTAAATAAATATTACACAAATAACTATATTTTGGAGAAAATTACGTAAATAATTATGTTTTAGAAAACTCTATAAAGGAGGAGCCAATTTAGTTAGCGCATGTACTTAAAAATAAAGAGGAGGCGTCATTACACTTAGCGCTTAGGTGCTAAAAGTTTGTCATAAGCCATGTGAGATGGCGCCTAAGTGCAATGGAGGTGCAATTTTTTTCGTTTTTTATTTTAAATGTGAGACATTAGATAAACGATATAGCTTCACAAAAATTTGACTTTTCATTTACAAAAAACGATTACATAATAAAAAAAACATATAAAATAATTAGTGGTCCCCCGGAGCTCGGTAACGACCTGTGGTTCCGCATCCGTGTCCTCGCCTGTCTCGTGGTAGGTTTCGTCGCATTTCCTGTTGTGGCAGGGTCGATGGCCCAGCGAAGTCAATGCGTTCAGGATCCATGAAATCAGTCAGATCATCATATCTGAAAGATCCACTTTGGTACAGTCGGTTACCCATGCCCACAAAGGTTGATCGTCTTAGTGGTGGATGGGATTCTATGGTTGGTTTATAGCATTGGTCTTCTGGGTAAGGGGGTAGAAAGGAAATGAATCTTGGGGTGTTTGGTATTGTGACTTGATCGTACTTGATCAGAGTTGGATTGTCACAGCTGGCCTTTGGCTGGATTTGAAAGAGATAGGGGGTACCTACAAGACACTTTGATGGCAAAGTGAGAGACGGAATGGGCAAACAAGTATGTATGTAGGTGTGAATGAATGAATATCTGATCCTCTCGAAATAGAGGGTATTTATAGCCCCCGACGTTGGGCCAAGGTCTCTTTATTGAGCTGATCAAACAGGCCCAACAAAGGGACTGTCAGGTTCTACGTGAGTAGTGGGGACTTGCACGTGGCCCCCTACCGGGATGATTCTCTCCATAAGACAGGGAGGATAGAGACGCGATCTTCCCGGGACCCTGAGGACTCTGCAAAATCCGGAGAGGTTGAAAGTCATCCCTACGAGGAGGGTGCTCGGGCAGAGCGTGCGCTCGTCGGGGACATTCTTCGCGGGTATCGACGGGAAGTAATCGTAGCTGACCAGATACACATGATCGGGGTGTGCTCGAAGGATATACTGCTCAGCATGATATATTGACAAGCTTGGATTGGGCCTCGCTGGTGATTGGGCCACGGGCAGGCCCAGTCCAGAACACGACTGTTGGGTGCTATGATGTGGTGGTTGATGGTAAGTTGGGTCGGTTGGGTCATATTCTTCAGAAAATCCCAGATCAGAGCTAAGGTTAGATATTGAGGGGCCCACATTAGAATATGGAGAAGACTGGAATTGTGGGGGGGCATGCAGGTGTATTGTGATTGAGATTGTGGTTGGGTGTGGGGCATATAGGGGTATTGGTATTGATGTGGCGATTGTGGTTGGGTGTGAGGCATATAGGTGTATTTTTATTGTGGTGGTGATTATAGTTGGGTGGTTGTGGATCTGTATCGTCGGGGTGGTTGGTGGGAGGTTGATGTGTGTTGGGTTTGTTGTTGGGGATTTGAGGATTATGCCCATTGTGTTCGTGAGTCAACCAAATACCTCGGATGAGACATGTGTATTTCTGGGTTACTAACCGGTCTATACCAAGCTAGATATTGATATGTGTGTCGCATATTACTCTGGTTGTTGAAAACAGGGAATTGAGACATGTTGGTGACGCCTATGCCACATCTTACATCATTCTGGAGCAAAATCTTTTCAATTAGTAAGACCCCATTGGGCGTCGACCCTTTTGAGATGCCAGGGGGACAAACAAGTTGGATCGCAGGGTATCCCTTGATGCATCCTGAACTGCATCTTGACACGGTCGCTGTGGTGCATCTCCACAATATTGAACCGTATGATTGCAGTCTTTGCAGTCCAAACTACTGCATCCTCAGGGTTTGGTTCATGGTCCAAACCCAAATATGGTCTCCAGATAAACTGTGGATAAAATTAAATCAGAATCATGCAAACATAATAAATAAATAATTTAAAACTAGAAAAGTTCAAAGGTGCGACGTACATCATCCAAGTCAAGGTGATCTAATAGATCACGATATAGAGCGACATTGAATTTGGGATTCTTGCCGTAAGCCATACCCGTCACGCAGTACCTAAAGGAATTGTAAAATAGATCATTTTTAACATATATTTGGCGAACGAATGAATAATAAATGATTTAAGTTCTTGACTTACTTTGTTGCGTATGGGAACACAAATGCATTATTGTTGACGGGGTTTAGGGACTCTATTCTCCACTAATCCCAGGCTTGGAGTAAGAAATTGCATCCATAAAATGTATATTTTCCTTGGTTGTATTTTTGCACAAGGAACTGTATAGATGGGCTAAAACAGCAAAACCCCAACTATACTTTCTAGTTTTTTCAAAGTTCCTAAGTAAATTTAAATACATAAAATTTACATTATTCCCCGTACTTTCGGGAAATAAAAAGGTTCCAAACAGTATCATTATATAATTACGAGATTTTATTACTCTTGCTAGCTCAGAGGAATTTTCGTTTAACTCTAGAGTCGCATAATGTTTTTTTAGTTCAGTAAGTAATATACCTTGGCCTCTAGCACCACCACCTTCAACCATATTTTTCCCAAAAATTTCTCGCATAGAGAATTGGGTTGTTGAACTAACCCGTTAACTACCTTACCTTCGACAAGGAGACCCAATAACATGTACATGTCCTCTAGTGTGACGGTACATTCACCTATCAGTAGATGAAATGTGTGTGTCTTAAGTCTCCACCTTTCCAATATTACAAGTATAAACTTTGAATCAATCGTGCAGTTGGAGATCTTTATAATATTTCCAAAACCCACATATTCGAGATAGGGCACGATCAACGGGTTGGGAGCAATGTAGTTGTGTGAGCAAATTCTGAATCTTTTAGTATCTTAAATTCAAAATGTAAAAAGTGTAAGAGTCTATAAGATGTATAAATCATTAATAATATTATAAAAAATATATTAGTATACAATAATATTTGAGAATTTATAAAAACTTACAAACGCCGCAATATTGTCCCTTGTGCCTCTGAGAATCTTCCATTGTGAGAAGAGCCATAGTTAAAATTGTATAAGATAATGAAAGAGTTTGTATCAGAGAGTAAGATGATTGTTGATGCAAAACAAGTATGTGGGGCTCTGTATTTATAGGTAAAATTGTATCATAGAGTGAATAAATGAGGTGGTTGGTGGTTGCATGCATGATATGTGTCACTCATGTGCCAAGTCAAATGGCGCCTACATGCAATTTAGAGAGCATACGCCATTCAACTTGGCGTGGGACAGGCCTAGTTGTTGCCGTGTAGGTGGCAGCCTTGGGGAAGGGTTTTCTGCATGCATGTAATATGATTAGACATGTAGGGAGGCGTCATTTGACTTGGCGAATTAGTACAAAATTGGAAGGTGTCGCCATCCCAATTGGCGAAATAGAGGTGGCATAGGTTGCAGTGTAGGTGCAGGCTAGGTGGAAATCTTGGGGAAGGGTTTTTTGCATGCATGTAATACGATTGGACATGTAGGGAGACGAATTAGTGCTTATTGTTGTCTTGTTCAAATTCAGTGCAACCTATTTAATCCTACATTTATCAAAACACTTCTACACTTAATCACTCTAACACTAGAACATTCAAAAATTCAAACAATCAGGCACTCAAACACTAAAACACTTAAACATTCAAACACTCAAACCTTCAAACCTTCAAGCATTCAAACACAATGACCTCTACACCACAATATGTTATCAATGCATATTTCAACGGTGAGACATACATTTGTCCCACCTCAGGGTTTTTGTTTAGAGACACTGAGAACATCTGATTTTGTTTAAATAGGAAAGCCAATTTCTTGTATTTCAAAAAAACGATTTGAGGTCAAACTTGGACGAGGTCCCGTGACACAAATATTCTATCAAAATCCGGTTTTTTTGGTGAGAACCAAATAATATATTATAAGGTTGAGGTTCAAGATGATGAGGAGCTTCAGAATATGTTTTCCAATCATGAGCATTTTGGGTACGACTCTATTGAGTTGTACATTATGATGCGGGAGCCTCAATTGTCACGACCAACTCAGTTACAAGTGGTTGATCCTCTCGAAGCCGAACAAGCAGAAGTAAATGTCATTAACGAAGAAGAGGAAGATGATGAGTTAGAGTTTGAGGACATGGTCAACAATGATTCTGAAGACAATGGGATACCGGGTATACCTTCGAATGAGATCTACACACCACCTCCACACATGACAAACTTCAACATGGGCGGAGATGAACCTTCATCTGATGTTTTTTTAATCCGTATATGCAATTGGATGAAAACTTAAAAGAGAAAGACAAATTTCATAATAGAGAAGATTGTATCTGAGCCATAAAAAAGTTTTATATGCTAAAATTGGTCGATTTTAAGGTAGATCGTGTAAATCCAGAAAGGTACAAGCTCAAGTGTGTCCACTCAGATTGTATGTTCAAGCTCACTGCATCATACAAATTAAGAGGTTATTGTTGGGTGATAGGTTTTATGTCCACCCACACTATGCCAAAATTGACTTTAGACAGCGCCACATAGACAGCGCTTATGCCCTAAGCGCTGCTATAGGTTTTCAGTAAAAAAAAATTAAAAAATTAGAATAAGCACTGCTAAAGGTATACTATAGACAGCGCTTATTATAAGCGCTGCTATAGGCCTTACCATAGACAACGCTTTCTTACCCTAAGCGTTGCTATAGGTTTTCAGTAAAAAAAATAGAATAAGCGCTGCTAAAGGTTATACTTTAGACAGCGCTTACTAAAAGTGCTTCTAAAG